AACGAGCTAGGTTTCTTACTTTCATAATAGCAGTAAAACATGGTGATTCCATTATTATGATTCCTGTCATCAACTTTATGATGTGGCACTGTTCCATGCGTCTTATGATATCTATAGTCGTAGTAAGGCGTATAATACTTGATCCATTCAGTTGTTGCTACCATCCATTTGACTTGTTGACAGTCACGTGACCCATAAGGCAGCAGATAAAATGGTTTGGTTATCGGTAACGAGATTGGAATTGTTTTGTTACCACTCGTTTGACAGAAAAAATACAATCTGATAACCCAGTGGTAATACCTCTGGTTAGCAAATGGCAAAACATTGGGAAAAATGCTCGGGCTATCATCGTACAGTTCAATCCATCCATAAGATTGTTTACCGGCATAAGGTTTGCCGTATATACAGTATTGTCCTGGAATATAAAATGCATTGATTTAATTAAATAACTCAGTCACTCTTGGTGACTACTTTAAACGTACGTATACATGCGCATGCTTGCTCATTTTAGGCATGCTTGCTTGCGCAGCCTAAAATAATTGCGAAACAACTGTATTTACAAACGTGTCCTTTTTATTTAAATTATTTTTTTTTTTTTTAAATCAATTACTTCATAAAGTATTTTAGAGCTTTCTTCAAGTGAATTCCTTCCTCACTTATTTTAGAATGCTGTCGGCACAGTTATTGAGCTAATGGTTTATCCCATACCAAAAAAAAAGTCATTTTATCAGTTTTGTTCATTAGAATTGTCGGTAACGCAAGTACTAGAGTGGACTACGTCTATATAGTTCTTTCAATGACTTTTTGAAAAGATTATTCATATTATATTTCAGTGAAAAACTCTGCAAGCTACGCATATCTTGTTTAAAACGTGCTGAAATGCACTCATGCATGAGCACCGTTTCTTGAACCGGGAACATGCCCTTCCTACCATTGATGCAATATGAATCACTTTAATCACGTCCCTAGCATACGGCCGTTTGGGAGACTAATAAGGCTTATTAACGTCCTCGAATGATCTTCAAGACTTGGAGGGCTAACCATATATATGTTTTCACTGCGTTTTCACAGCTCCCTTTTCACATTTATCATTATCTTGTCTTATTACGCGTGTGTTGCGTAAAATTAAAACCTTAGCAGTCAATCAGTTTCATCGTCACG